AACTTCGGCACCATATTCTGCAGATAAAAACGAGTAAAAAAGTTCGTATAAATGTGTGTCCTAGAATGCTTAGTTTCGGAGATACAGGGTGTAGAAGTTTCATTTTTATTTCGATTTCTTCCAAATAATTTCTGAAGTATCGTCAATATTTGGATGAAAGTTGGTGTCTGGGAGTTCTTTGACATCAGACGTTCATGACATATACGTCAAAATATTTTTTTTACTGATTTTTTTTTGGGCATGAGAGATTTCATCTTTTTTTTAATAATGGTTTTTCCCATGTATGTAGCTAACTTTTTTTGTAACATTCTGTAGATGTGAATTTAATTTCCAGATATTTTTTTTATCTGGTATATAAATAAACCCTGATCAATAAAAAACAGAGTAGGACAAAATATTATTTCAATTTTTCTCAACGACTCAAAAACTAAATTAGGAATTTAAATTTTTTTTATCTTATCATAAAGAATTACTCCAAGATCGAGTATGAGAGTTCATTTACCTTATCTATTTATTAACTCGAAATTTTATACAAGTCTATAAAAAAAGAAAAATAAACTATCAAAAATATTTTTAGAAACAATATTGCTCAGATTAAATATACAGTAAATGTGTCACAGATACCATCGAAGATAACCGAGTTGTAAACAAAAAAAATCGTTAATATTTACGTCATAGTTAAGTGCTTCACTCGATTTCTATTTCTACGGTTGTTCCGTTGTTCTCACCTTGCTAGTCAAGGACGAGTTTTGTAATTAATTCATCCTAAAGTGGGATACAATATTATGGTCGAAAAAAAAACGGCGTCAGCGATGGCTATGAAATGAAGATCGCTGTCATTTTATATGGGGAATCTCATCGATGTTCATTTCAAAGGCCAACTGTACGCCGTTTTTTTTTTCGATCATACGGCAGTTCACTGTTTAGATTTAGCTTGAATCTACTTATATCAATATGACAAAAATGTATATGTATTTTTTAGACAAATGTGTGTGTGCTACATCATAGTATTGGATTGTAATATACAGGGTTGTCCGAACTGTATTCCGGAAACTTCGACAGCATATTCTGCAGATAAAAATAAGAAAAAAGGTTGTATAAATGTACTCTGTCCTAAAATGCTTAGTTTCGGAGTTACAGGGTGTAGAAGTTTCATTTTTATTTCGATTTTTTTCCAAATAATTTCTGAAGTAACGTCAATATTTGGATAAAAATCGGTGCCTGAGAGTTTTTTGGCGTGAAAAATTTGATTTTGATGTCAATATGGCTCCTATTTGTAGGAGGCGCCATCTACATGTGTTTTAACTGTTTCGAAGAGTAATAAATTTTCGTCCGTACCTGTTAGAGCATTCAATCCCTGGATCCCGTTTTCCGGGATCCCGGACATTTTTTCAATCCCGAAATCCCGGGATTGTCTTTTATTTAATCCCGGGATTTTCGGGATTCAACAAAATAATATTCCTGGAGATGGAATTCTTCGAGAATGGAGCTGACCGAGGTTTCTACTTGCAGTTAGCCTATGACATGCTGATGACTATTCCTCCAACGAGTGTGGAATCAGAAAGGACATTTTCTATTGCTAGAATGTAGAAGATCTTAGTTTGAGTGATAATACTCTTGATCAGCTTGTTTTTTAAGATTTTTTTTTTCAAAAAACAAGTTTAGATCCTCATCTTTGTTACTGCATAAGTTGGTATTTTAGTATCTTAGTATTTTAGTATCTTACATAATCCTGTGTTATGCTGTGTTTGTTCGTTTTGTTATGTAAATTAAATAAAAAATGTATATTTTAGTTCCTTTTAATGATTTTTTTGTTAAATAAACTTATATGTTATGTTGTTTTGTAATGGCGATGACGTTTAATTTATGTTAATGTTTTTTTGTTCAATAAAAATTTGTTTAAGAAAGAAAATATAATATAATTTCAATGTAATTAATTTTTCGAGAATCCCGGGACCAATCCCGGGATCGAAAAATTATAATCCCGAAATCCCGGGATTGAAAATTTCTTTCTGGATTGAATGCCCTAGTACCTGTATAAAACTACTGAGTAAAAAAAATTACATTTCTGTGATTTTTTACGTAAAAAATGTCTCTTTTTTTTACGCAAAAAAAATCGCTACAAGCAACCGTTTTCAAGAGTATTTAGTATGGAAATAGTCAATAAATACATGTCATTATTGACAAAAAATAAACATGTTGAGTAGATAGTTATTTGACTTTGATTGAAATGATAAATTTGGGAACTTTTTAGTTTTTAAATTAATTATAAATTTTTCTTCGAAAAAATGATGATAAAACAGTTTCTGTTGAACTTTTGGCACAAAAACATTTCAAATTTTTGATTTCAGTGTAATAAATATTTATTCAACGTGTTTAATTTATGTCAATGATGACAGGTATTGATCAGTTCGGTTCCAAATATTTCGAGAACCATTACTCGTAGCGATTTTTACCAAGAGACCTTTTTTACGTAAAAAAAAACGTCGTAAATGTATATTTTTTACTCAGTAGTTTTATACAGGTACGGACGAAAAGTTATTATTCTTCAAACCCGTTAAAAATACCTAGGTAGCTATCTCCCTCTACAAGTAGGAGTCATATTGACATCTAAATCAAATTTCTCGTATTAAAAAACTCTCAATTTTCATCCAAATATTTACGTTACTTCAGAAATTATTTCGAAAAAATCGAAATAAAAATGAAACTTCTACACCCTGTATCTCCGAAACTTAGCATTTTAGGGCATACATTCATACAAACTTTTTTACTTATTTTTATCTGCAGATTATGCTGCCGACGTTTCCGGAATACAGTTTGGACCACCCTGTAGATATAGATTTTGTGGTATCGTAGTATTGGGGAGGACTATATTATAGACACTTCTTAATTTGAATTATATCTATCTATTAATTGTTAGTACTTTAATCCTTATCTGAATGCCGTTTAACGTTGAAAATGTAGTTTACTAGGCTTATTATTATTATTACGTCAATAAATGAGTCAGGTTTACAGGTTGTTGTAGGCTGATGGGATACCTGTTTGCATAATTTATTTGGTTATAAAATGTGGCACCTCTATTAATATAATATAAAAGAAGCAATATCTATTTTCAGGTAATTTCTATTTAATAAAATATATCGATATGTGTAAATCGCATTTTCTGGCATTTTTTTGGATGACGTCTTGATTGTCAATAAAAAAATCTGAAAAAAAGACAAAAGAATCGGACTGGTTAAGTCCAAGTTATCTTCTAAAATAAAAATAGAATAGTGAAATGAATTCATCTATATAAATAAAAATGAAATGTTACTCGTCGGTAAGTAAACGCAACACTTAAAAACGATTGGATTGAATTGCCGGATTTTTATTTCAAAATTACTTCATTGTTCCATTTGCATTCAATAAAGTTTTTATGGAAACGAAAATTGAAAAAATGTATTCAATCATCCTTTCTAATGCCCATGTGACGCCGTTTTTTATCATTGTGCATAGTTTGATAAAAAAATTATAAAAAAATATCAGTAGCATAACCTATTAATTTAATGCTGATTTAGTTACATGAACGAGTAAGCCTAATCCGAATACATAACTATAGACGAATGAATATGAAAATCAAGTGAAATTGAGTACTTTCTTGTATATAAAAGATAGATTATATAAACAGATTACGATGCACGTGCGATTTAGATTACTAATCAAAAAAGAAAAAAAATCGAATTTCTTGGAAAATTGTAATTTCTAAATATCAGAGCATAATAATTGTACATAAATAAGAAACGCAAGCATGTATAAAATCACTATCATGTGTTAAACAATATTACGCATTTGATAAAAAATGCCTCGCTTGAGAAGATATATTTTAAAATAAATGTCTCTTCATTTTTCATTCATTGTCGCTTTGTTCTTGTACAACACCTTGTACAATTTTTCACAACACCAAAAAATTAAATTTCTGCACATAAAAATTTCAATAAAACGAGTCTATTGAGAATAAATCACCCTACACAACAATACGCATTTATTATTATGTTTATTAATATAACTTATGTACAAATACAAATCTGTAATATTCCACAGGAATAAATAAAACAAACTATTTTATTAATAATAACACTTATCGAATTTTATACCTTAAAGGTTGATTAATTAACTTTAATCTTAATTTTATAGACTTGGTTATCAAACCATGTTCCCGTAGATTACTTAAATACCTACAAATTTTATTAAAAAAAATAAAAATTAACACATTTTTTGTAAACCAGTACCTTCCGACATTATTTTTCTGCAGTACTAAAATCCATTATTTACCTATCGTGTGATGTCGTTATTTTACATTACATTACTCCAGTTTTTTGTATATGTTTAGTACGATCCTTGTACCATATACGAGATGCACTTATCTATGACGAGATGGTATACAAACTTTATTGATGGTAACTTTATTGGTGTATAAGACTTTCTGCCTGGGCACCGAGTATTAACTGTAAACTGTGCTCTGGGTCTACAGTTAATTTTCCCTCGATTTTTCCTCCACTTGACTTCAAAAGACACATCATCTTCCAAAACGCAGGGTATTTGATATAAGTTGGCCGAGAAGTTGACACAAAATTATAACCTATAATTTGATAAGCCTCAAAAATCTAAAAGCGAGTTTATACGCATCGGCGTCCGTTTGTCGTTCATCGTTCCGTCAAACCAATAAAATTGACTAATATGATCTGTCATTTTTGAAATAAACCAATAAAACTGGTTAAAAACAACAAGAGACGACGCAGGACGGATATATATTTAAACCCATCCACAGTTAACTTAAAAAATATTAGAAACTTTTTTTTAGTAAAATAAATAGATTGGTATGGGACGTCATCTGCTTTTTTTCTGTCATCGTCTGTCGAAATCTTACCTGAGTATACACATTTCTGTGTACGATTTTTCTGTCGTTTTTTTAATTAACCCCCTTAAAATTTTAATATTCTTATGATTTTTTTTAATTTTAGGTGGCCGGGTTGCATGCAGTGTCCAAGAAAGCCGCTCGTCCTAGCACCGTGCGATGCAGTTGCGTGCCGTGTCAAGAGCCCTGTGCCCTTTGCACGGGACGGGTGGATCCTATGCATCCCAGAGATCCACCCGAAACCCTTGTGAAAGCCGAAAAAGTCGCCCTGCTTGATCCCGGTTTCCATCCAGTCCTGTCTCTACCCGAAGGTAATTATTTCTATTTTTTTCTTAAGCCATAAAATGGTCAAATTTTAAGTCAATAAATGACACATTTTTTAAGTGAGGCTTCCGAAAAAGCGCTATATTAGATTTTTGGTTTGTGAATTTCGGTTATTTTTTTTAAATATGGGGGCAATGCACATTTTGAAACTATTTTTCTCGGTATACAGGTGATTCAAACATATTTTCAAACCAAAGTTATATATTTTTAAATAGAATAGTAGCGGGTGCGTCTCAAAAGTGGCTCACCCCTATAACTTTTTTATTTTTTCAGATAAAAAAGCGAGATTTGGTATGTTATATGACATAAATTGGGGTTGATTGACGTATTCAATTGTTTTAGGTCACTTCCTGTTTCACCGGAAATGACTACAACTTTTGATTTTTAAATGGCACCCTCGGTATTTTTTTACTTTATTCGATAGAGAATGACATTCTGAATAGAATGACATATCATATGTCACCTTTTGACATTCTCGCTTAATAAAAAATTGTATTTTAAAATTCGATCTAGAGCGCTGTGGCTATGTTAAAAACACTAATTCTTATCAAGAAGCCTTGGAAAAATAGATTTGATCGTCTAATGTTTTTAGTGTCTTGTCCTGGCCAGTTAGAATTAGAAAATGCTCAAATCGTATTTTTAATCATATCTCATTTTTTTCAAATAGAACGAGGGTGGCTCATTAGCATATTTGGAAAAAGCATTTTCTCACGAATAATTTGATACCACACACTTGGTATTTCGAGTCAAATTTTCGTTACGAACCTCAAGTTATAATTTCAAATAAACTATATGCGAAAATGTCAAAGTTGACATATGATATGTCAATTCAGAGTGTTATTTTCTATCGTATAAAGTAAAAAAATGCCGAGGGTACCATTTAAAAATCAAAAGTTGTAGTCATTTCCGGTGAAACAGGAAATGACCGAAAACAATTGAATACGTCAATCAATCCTAATTTATGTCATATACTAACATACCAGATCTCGTTTTTTTTTTGACTGAAAAAGTAAAAAAGTTATAGGGGTGAACCGCTTTTGAGACGTACCCAGTATATATTTTTTAACTCAGTGGATTTGCTATTAGATTTCTGTTCCAAAAATACCATAATGTCATATACTATACTGAGTGGTTTTTAAAATATAACCGTTTTTAAACTAAATTTACTTCTTACTTAAAATTCTAAATTCGAATTTTAACAGGAAATACTGTATATTAGTGTCTCCTTCAAAATTCGGTCTACCATAATTTGCAATCTTGTTTGATATATACAGGACGAGTCAAAACTAAATGTATTTTTCTCCACTATTTTAAATGGAAGATCCTGTATTTTGTATCATAATCGAACAAGACTTTCTTTAATCATTTTGTTTTATTAAGGACTTCCTATACCTAATATGGCTCTTTAATGAGAAAATTGTGTTTTTTAAAAATATAAGACATGATCTGACTTTCAATCTTTCAATAAATGGCGTTTATCATTATTCTGGAAACATCATCCCTTATTTTTAAAAATCGAACTACAGGGTCCTATACCCAATATTGTTACCCGCCAAACCCTGAATCTGAATCTGCCCTTACCACTTCCAAATAGCACATTGGTCAAAAGATCTATAATATATGAGGGCCGAAAGATCTTTAATCATCTGCCGGTTGTTTTAAGATTGGTTAATTCCATAAAAACCTTCCGGAGACTACTGAAAAGGGAACTTTTAAATAGGGCATTTTACAGCGTTGACGAATTCTACCGGGGCTCCCTTGATATTACTCTTTAGAGTCTAGAATTGCTTGTTAGTCTGACTTATTCTTTTTAGCGTTATTTTTAATTTTCTCTTTATTCTGTATATTGTATATGTTATTTTACACCTATTTTTCTGAATACTGTTTGTTTGTTTAAATGGATGTATTTCTATCTTATATTTACACAATTTTTTTTAATTTAGGTTTAGATTTAGGAATATTTATGCTTTGTTAACAAAATTTTTATTTTCTATTTTTATATATTTCTATTTTTTAAACAATAAAGTACTTTTGAAATTGAAATTGAAAAATATAACTGTCATATCTATCATCTATCTACATCAAAGTAGAACAATCTTTTATTATATTATGTGTATTACGATCATGTACCCAAATTCAACAATTTCCGAATTATGAAGTTTTGATTCTGAAATGTTAAACGAAAATTTCGTAATTTCCAGACTTGTTATAATCTCATTTTATACATCTATAAATGCTAACTTGAAAACTAATGTCAAATATAATTAAGTATCATAGTTTCCGCAGAATGGCATTGTTAAATGAAACCGAACACATCGAAATTAATTAAATTGAATTGTTTAAGTGATATTTTCAAAAGTCAATAACTCGGAAACGGTTAGTTTGAGGTACATTGTGTATCGCGATTTTTGCTTAGAATTGGAGGAAGAACCGAAATATGCAATAATATACAGGGAGTTCCATTAAAAAAAAATGAAACTTTGATGTGCCACGACTTTATGACCGACCCTGTTTACTTAAATTTATTACCCACCAATAGATATTTAAAACAAACCCCTATGACTTTTGTATCTAACTTTTTGCGGTACCTCCTATATTTTACCTAATAATCGACCGATTTCATACATATCAGCGACCCTGTATATCTATCTTTATACACAGGGTGTTTCAAAACAAACGTGGCAAACTTTAATGGCTGATCCCTTGTTCTGTCAAAAGTCTACCATTTGGGAGTTTTTCTATCATAAGTTTTTAAATTTTTTTTACGTGTCGATTCCTATGTCTTATGTATTATGATTGTTTTGTAGATTCTTCTCAAAATTTGCACTTTGAGGCCATCATGAAACTCCACGAGTGGCAGCAACGGAGCTTGCGAATGAAGACGATGAAGGTACTGCAGAAACGGGATCAAGGGGAATCCAAGTCGCTGGAGCATCGAACGAAGAAATTGGACCATCGAAAAAAGTACGGTCGATTGAAATCCAGCACTATGGCGACGCTATCTGAAAGTAAGTAATTTAACTATTCTAGTATTTCTCAAACTTACAGCCTTTTGTATAGTATGTGTCATTGGTTTTTTACTTTACCAGCCCTGAAGCATGACCGTTAAAACAAGGGATGTTATTACCGAATATTTTTGTACTATATTTAGTACATTTTTAATATGAAAGAAAAACATTATTTCACGCAAAATTTGAGCGATCTGAGAAATAGTTTCTATTCATCACGTAGGAAATTATGTAAGAAAAGGTTTTTTTTTGTAATTCTTAAAATTATTGTTTAGTTCAATTATTTAGTACATTTTCCAGACGTCCAACCTCGGCAATCTTATCTACTGTGTACGTTTATATTCTGCTGAAATACTTAAATTTAATAAATATTATTGAATATTTTAATTGACAGCTTTAGTGAAATAGACTATAGATCACAATTTAATGATTTTTTGATGGTTTAGCTCTTTTTTAGCAATAATATAAAGTAATTGCAAAACAATTTCCGATGCACGTGATCAACTTGAGTGACAAGCGATAGCGACAGAGTTGCCAGATTGTGATGGATTTATGAAATGAATCATAATGTAAAATTCGGAAACAATATATTTATTATATCATTTTTTAAAGATTTTCAACCTAGTTTTAACCTTTTTTAAAGTACTTTAACCTGTGCTGTCAATCTGCGCATACGAAACAACGCATTTAATCATATACCACATCCTAACCTAACCTTCCTAGCTTGGCGATTTATGACATAAAATTGACATTTTCTTATCTGTATTCTGTTTATTTTGCAGAAATAAAGAACAAGATCAAACGGCGTAAGGTGGGACGCCCGTCGGGCATCAGTAAGTTTAAGAAGCGACAAAGCCAGTTGCTTTTGCAGAACTATGACGTAGCTGCGGAGGATGCGGAGGTGGAAGCGATGATCGGCGAAGGTTCGACTCCGTTTTTGGGTGCGCCTCAGGAACGGAACCAACTGGATTCGCCACACGGTTCGCCTTTGCTTCAGATGCAAGTGAGTACTCTTTGGAATTGCTCTAATATGATTCTGATTTATTGAAAAAAAAACATAACTTTGGACGATTTTCAAATTGAAGTTTTTTTCAAAAATTAAGTAAAACAATTTGTTAAGAAATAAATTAAATTTATAGTAATATTTATTTAATATGAATTTATTTGGGGTTTTTAAATTTCAGTCTATATCTGGTTACAAGCAACACAACAGGAATGTCAGGTCGGATTCGTATGATATTGATAACATTGTGATACCTTACAGCGTGGCTGCGTCCACGCGTGTAGAAAAACTTCAGTACAAGGAAATTCTGACACCAAAGTAAGTACTAACGTCATACTTATCAGTTTTTATTGATGGCGTTTAATGTGTGTTTTAATTTTACTGTTTTTTTCGCTTAGGTGGAGGATTGCTGAAACAGAGCCATTATACAAACTTGAAACTAAGAATAACGGTACTGTGACTGATTTAGTGGAGGATAGTGATGTAAGTATAGTCTGTACAATGACAAAATCATTGACAGTGATTGATGTGTCTGTCATTTTAAGTTCAAAGTAGTTTATTTTATTTTACAAAGAAATAAGTTTTCCCTGGATTTTTCCTCCACTTAACTTTAAAAAATACACGTAATAACCAATATTTATAATTTTCCAGAAAGCTAGATATTTGACACAAATAATAACCTTTAATTTGACAAGAGTTTGCCAAGTTTCAGTAATCTTAAGTCGAGTTCATACGCATCTGCGTCCGTGCGTCGTTCTGTCATTCCAATCATACCCCTCCATAGTTAATTTAAAAAATATTAGAAATTTTTTAGCGAAATAAATGGATTAGTATGGACTTAATTTGCTTTATTTATGTCGTCGTCTGTCAAAATATTCCCTTATTCAGAGTATACATTAGGGTGGTTGTGGTCCGCCTTTCAGTTTTCTATTTTTTCCTTATAATTAGAAAGAAAAATTCATATCTCAGTATCCTACTATTGTAAAAAATATCTCGTCCACATATTTGTAGGAAATTAAATTCTTTACAAAAAAGGTTTCTTACAATTTCTTTGTAAACCTCACCGTTCGAAAGTTATTAAAGGTTGAAGTTTGATTATTTTAAGACAGATTTCTTTTTTTAGATAGATATACTTTTTTTAAAAGATATAATGTGAAAAAAGATATTCGTCGATTCTTTTTGACACATTGTGAGACAGGAAATTGTAGAGAGAAACAAGCCCTATAACATAGGATACAACATTTTAATGAACAGTGCTTTCCATAAAATCAATAAAATCAAAAATATACGAAATAATGTACATGTACTGATTTCTTTCGAAAATAGACAACTATGAAACTATGATCCCTTCCCCGACACAAACGGTACATTGTGAGACAGGAAATTGTAGAGAGAAACAAGCCCTATAACATAGGATACAACATTTTAATGAACAGTGCTTTCCATAAAATCAATAAAATGAAAAATATGCGAAATAATAAACATGTACTGATTTCTTTCGAAAATAGACAACTCTGAAACTATGATCCCTTTTCCGACACAAATGGTACATTGTGAGACTGGAAATTGTAGAGAGAAACAAGCCCTATAACATAGGATACAACATTTTAATGAACAGTGCTTTCCATAAAATCAATAAAATGAAAAATATACGAAATAATAAACATGTACTGATTTCTTTCGTAAATAGACAACTATGAAACTATGATCCCTTCCCCGACACAAACGGTACATTGCATTGCATTGTGAGACAGGAAATTGTAGAGCGAAACAAGCCCTATAACATACAGCCCTTGCAACATTTTAATGAACAGTGCTTTCCATAAAATCAATAAAATGAAAAATATACAAAATAATATACATGTACTGATTTCTTTCGAAAATCGACAACTACGAAACTATGAACCCTTCCCGGACACAAACGGTACATTGTGAAACAGGAAATTGTAGAGGGAAACAAGCCCTATAACATAGGATACAACATTTTAATGAACAGTGCTTTCTATAAAATCAATAAAATGAAAAATATGCGAAATAATAAACATGTACTGATTTCTTTCGAAAATAGACAACTATGATATGATCCCTTCTCCGACACAAATGGTACATTGTGAGACAGGAAATTGTAGAGAGAAACAAGCCCTATAACATAGGATACAACATTTTAATGAACAGTGCTTTCCATAAAATCAATAACCTTAGTATACATGCAGCAGTTCTAAAATTTAAATATTAATGCCATTTTATTTATCGTTCTTTCAAGGTGGAAGACCTTACCGAAGAGGAAGTGGTCGCGCGCCACGACCGTTGCGAGCAAGAGGAGAAGAAACGCTTCCTCAGCTACCTGAAGCTGCCCGCCGGCTACGGCCGCCAACGCTCCCACAAGCGCCACGACAGCGTCGCGGAGAACTCGCGCGCCAACACGCCTGATCCCCCCGCCAGTCCCCACCCCGAGGGCGGAGCCAAGAGCTCGGACGGGATGCCGGCGCTGGCGTCGCCGCCGCCTACGCCCGGGGCCGTGCTCGAGGAGGCGCTGCCCTCGATCCAGGCGATGCTGCGCAGGCGCACCGTGTCACAGTCCCGAGCGAAGGAGGATCCGGTTCCCGTCGATTTCGTCGAAGTAAGTTTGGCTCAAAAGCCTTCCCAAATAGAAAGTTACGATTTTTTTTCTGCGGAAATGCATAATTTTCGGTTTTTCAACTTTAGAATAGCTGAAACCAGTTATAGTCTATCCAGCAACAAGATCCTTGACAGTGATAGAGGTGTCTGTCATTTTATTTTCAAAGTAGTTTGTTTTATTTTAACAAAGAAATAAGTTGGTACAATTGGAACGCATTTTTTTCCAAACTGCTAAATTGTCTTATATCTATTAAAAATAGTAGATAAAATAGTACTTTAACCGCAAGGGTAGATTAAATGATACTTTAACAGCGAGGATAGGTTAAAAACTGTATTTCTTCTCGCACGTTTATTAATTGCTTCCATTTTTGAAAAACTTTGTTTTCCTTTTTATAAGTTATTCGGGATTTAAATGGAAGTAGTTTGGATATGGCGTTTGTCGCCTCGACCTGAATATCTGTTGGTAATTTACTTATTTCGTTTTGAGCCATTTCTGGCTTCAATTCAATCAGCAATCGACACGAAAGAGAATTAAAAAATATTGACTACACGACGATAAAATTGCTAATTAATCTTTTCGGTCGAAGATAAAATACCATTTTATCGTCTTGTATAAAAAATAACTATAAAATTTAAGTGACAAGTGATTACTTCAAAATATTGTGAAAAAAAACTGTCTAAAATTGAAAAAATCTAATCGAGGTATTTTATTAAAAACAATAATTGTTTTTAATAATAATACTGTAATTATTACAAACAAGGGTGTATTTAAAAAAACACCACTTACCAAAAAAAGATATAAAAAGATTTCCTGATTTCAAGCTGTGTTTCAAGCAACTTCCTGCATTTATTATTTATTTATTTGTTACTTGTTACATTTATCATAACTTATGTAAATAAGTTATAAAAAATGTTATTTTTACATAACTTATGTAAAAATAAAAAAATATATTGCAAATGAATAAACGCCTAACCAACATTTACTGAATTTTATACTTTAAAGTTGGTTAATTAACTTTAATTTTAATTTTTGTAAACCAGTATCTTTTGACATTATCTCTCTGCAGTACTAAAATTTATTATTTTCCTATCGATTTTGATTGCTTTGGTTTCGAAATTTTCATTCGCGATTTTCTACATTTTTATTAATATTTTTTAAAAATTATTTTACTATAATCACAGATTATACAGATTATAATCTTTGTTTTTTCTTTATTGTTTTTCGTGGTTCCAATTTTCGGAATCGGGCACTAGTTAGGTGACTAGTTTGCGCACATAGCACGCCCACTTATGGCCTCTAAAATTGTGCACAGCGCCTGACCGGCACAGTTATTAGAGAGATATCGGAAAACCGAATCCGAATAGCGTCATCCAGTATTTACGCGTACCTTATCATGGTTACGATATGCGCGAGTCAATTTTTAACGCAACACCCGCTAATAACGTTACCGCCTGACGTAATTTGCGGATCAATTACACCAAGCGCTCTTTCTAAATAACCTCTGATAACGTTCAAAAATTGCTTAAATGGGCATGTGCGGGTATTTGACAATCGGAGCCGGCCGGCGAGATCTTTTATTTTAGGTTATGTTTGAATTGTTTTGAATTATTGCTTTAGTTTTATTAGGTAATTTGATATTTAAGTAGCTGGGATTAGTTTTAATTAAATAAATATGGCCCAAAATATGGATTCCACCTCTTCCAATACTAAAGAACCTATAAATAAGAGTCTTAGGTTTACAGCAAATGACGACTTAGCCCTTCTAAGAGAATTTGTTGCTTGTTGCCCTAAACCGACTGGCAGACGTTGAACAATAAAGTATTGGAAATAAGCACTTTAGCCCTTTAGTTTTAAAATACCTAGTAAACAAAACAATTTCAAAGTTTTAAATTCAAAGTTAGGTTAAGTTTAAATAGCGGACGCGACGCGATCAGAATTCTTTCCGATCTGATAACTATAAATGAAGAGAGTTAATACCACATCACATAAAGGAAATAACACCTGGCCTTATTAACGTCCATGCACGCTATTCGGTTTAGCGACATCTCTCTATTACGCTGTTTATTGTTATTTTACGCAAGTTTATTTTTGCGCACAAGAAATTTGACTCGTTTGCACATCGTCATAAAAAACAATTTTCGTACCACGAATTAGGGACAAGATTTTTATCTGTATACTTATAGGATACCTAATCTGTGCTATAATCTTTTCAAAAATGACAACGATGAATTTCCGCAAGGAATTTCTTGCGTGTTTTATGTTTTAATGGAAACATAAAGGTGTATTTATGTAACTGATTTCAGTTCTTCTAAAGTTCAAACTTTAGAAGAGGTTTTGTCATTTTATTGCAATGAAACTCGCAGTTTTAACTGAACAAAACGCAGATTTAATTTCTAATTTGTCTAAGAAAACTGTAACGTTTTTTTTTCTTCTTTAAAGCAACCTCCATATGAGGCTCGATTATTTCCCCTATCGGCACCCGAATACGAGCGAATGGTTCAGGAAATGCCCGATGCCCATCGAGAAATTAAAACCAACTTTAGAGCGCAAGATACGGGAGAATATATTACGGAGGGCAACGGAGCCGAGTCTGCAGACAGCGAATCTACCGAGTCTGCTATTGGTGAGTATAATTTTATAAGACAGATATTAGGCATAGATAAATGAAACAAGTTTAGACTGGAAAGTGCCCATAAGGACAATGTAAACACTATTTGGCGCTATTCTTGCAACGGTCGCGACCCAAAGCTTTTGGTAATTTCGGATTGGTTCGGCTTTTTCCAAAATTTATTATTATTCTCTATTAAGTTTATAAATAAAATACAGCGTGTTGCATACAAGAAACTTTATTTTATATAAGGACATATGTATGAAATACCAACGAAACATTCGAAATCGACGTTATGCCACAATCCACGATGGTTTTTGCAGTTCACAGTTCACAACACAGCTTTTTAAGTTTATAATGCCACTTTTTCACAATTATCACGGGTTTGAGTAAATATAATTTAAATTAAACTCGCAAGATAGCAATAATTACTTTCAGAATAAACGGTTTAAACACTTTTCGGTATTTTTTCAACGAGGGCGGTTTAAATTTTGAAAAATTTTATAATTTTTGAAAATTCTGACTTTAACGAAAGAAAATTATTTCTGTTATTGTTTGCGGTTGTTCTGAGCAACTGCTATAGCAGCGCCAGATCGCATACAACAGTCGCGACCCTAAACAATTATAAATTTTGATAGGCATTCCAATCTAAATTTATTTCCTTTACCTATGATATTAGGTTAGATTTTTGAGGTTCCATTGCAACCTTTTTAGATCTATTGTGGAAAGAGTAAAAATGTTTTTTGCTCTTTCTGTGTGCGTCCAGACTGTTGATTTTTCAACATAATTTTTCCAAAAAATGTCTGTACCTATGTGGCGGATTTATCTTTCCAAAAAAATCCTTTATGGGTATTTCGCCACTGCACTGCAAGAAAATCTACAAAATAAAATAATTATTTTTTGTAAACACTTCTGCGTTAAACCTAAACGGACGCTGCTTGTCAGAAGTTATGTTTACAGTAATACAAATTTGCCTAACAAAGAAAAAAAATGCTTAACGTTTCGGAAAGTTATCTCTTTCCGTCGTCGGAAGCAAAAAAATACAAAGAATAAAGAAAAAAACTATTTAACAGATACGTCTACAAGAAACCGTTGACGTTCTGTTAAAATGTCATTTGGTTAGGTTAGGTTAAAATAATTATTTTATTTTGTAGATTTCTTTGAATAAGAAGACTAAGGAAGGAGCATATCAAAAATCTTAGGTCCACCGCGATGGGCCTCAAATATGGCCGACTTAAATTCCGGTTTATCAGTGCCGTTCTAATTTTATTTAAAAAATGTAAAACTATGGTGTAGGGTAGACGTGGGGTAGACTCGGTAATTTGTTAATTTATTTTACGTTGTGAATAAATGTTGGTAGTTATTAAAATTATTATAAAAATATAAAATTCTAATAAAAATAGATAAGTTATATAACATAAACATCAGATACGCTACTGAAGCAGGTAAGTCAAATTGACGTATCTAAATTCTTTTACATCTAATCTTCGACAAGGAGTAAATAAAAGCAAAAATGCAAGAAAAAATATATAATTAGATAATTTAAGCGAATTTCATAAATGATCGGTTTACTACACGTATGTATATTATATAGTCACTTACTAGCGAAAAGTTGTTCCATTATTTCACTCGATTTTTGCCGAGATCTACCGCACGCTACACAACCAACTGTTTTAGAGTCTTTTTCGATAAATCGCGATAGTGTCACTGTTAATTTAAGTTCTGCCACAATTTCCATCTAGATTTACTACCTTTATACAACTGTCAGTAGTACAATAAATAAGAAATAACATAAAATAAACTCCGTAAAGACTGACAAATCCACAAAGTTTCAAATCAAATTCAAATGTGTCAAATGAATCGTCAAACAGAAATGTCAAGGATCCCCACCCTAGAGTCCTTTTTCCGCCCACCATGCATGAATACATGGATAGCATTATTCTCCTTCCTTAGTCTTCTTATTCAAAGGTAGAATTTCTTGCAGTGCAGTGGCGAAATACCCATAAAGGATTTTTTTGGAAAAATAATTTCTCCACTTAAAATGTATGTTTCTTTTACAGGCGACGATGCTATTCTAGAAGACGAGGATGAAGCTTTCATGGAAGACGAAGAGGAAGAAGATGAGGATCCTAACGATCCTGAATGGACCGACGCGGAGAAATCCGGACATAAGGACAAACACCATCGGAGGTAGATTTAAGAGATTAAGAGTAAGTATCAAGCTCCTCTGCGCAACTTCACGAGTAGTTTAGAGGCGTTTTAAGAAACGAAAATAAGCCGAGACGAGACAAAGTTAGACGAAGAAGCACGGGATAACCCTCTTTACTATTTGGCCTTGACATACTTTGAGCTATTTCGCGAATAGTGTAATGGCCGTTTTATATCTTGTTTTTTTTCTGTTTCAGGTTCAATCGTTACTAATGGACTTTCAAGATCTTCTAAGTAAACTACTAGCCGATTAGCATTTAGGTATTTTTTTAATTGTTTACTTAGCTCTCCATTAATCTAATAAATATTAATTATGTTGAATACCGCATATTCTTACGTACTGTTTTATTATCAATGATAAAAGTACCTTAAACAAAAAAATATATATTATAGCGATATAACATCTATCTACTAAAACGACATAACAACAATATGTTGTGTATATTACGCGTATAGAGCAAAAGAAGGCTTAATATATTATTGATACGTTTCAACTAAGTACAAAGAATTAGACTAGGTAGGGATTTAATTGATTAACTTTGATGTTTTTTTTTTCAACTAAGAGCGCTATTAGAAACATTATTTTCGATATAATCATATAAAAACGTAGTTTTACATTACATTAAATGAATTTACTACTACGAGTTTTACGTTGTAAAAATTATACTAATCCAAAGAAGAGTTGTGATTATTGCCAATCTTCTATTAACAAGCTACCATTCGAAAATCAAAATTTTCAAATTTTCCTGGTGATCCATAAGTTCAATAATATAAAAAAATATTGCACCGCTTACTACGCCACAAAGTTTTTATATAGAGGTTGTCCCAAATAAGAATGACGGTTCAGAAATCTCGTAAAATAGAAGATACACAGTTTATTAAATTAGAGGAAAGTTGCCCTGCAAGAACATGTTTCAAAATCTAATAAAAACGACGATTTCCGAAAATATTTTGGAAACCCCTTTTTATCTTCTTCTGGCTTTATTTGAAAAGATATGACAATACAAATTTCACATTGCCATTGCTACTTTTCCTGTTCTACAAATTCAAATTTATTGTGAATTTTCTTATTGTCATACCTTTTAAAATGCAACCAGAAAAAAATTAAAACGAAATTGGGATAATTTGGGTTTTCTTAAAATACTTTGGGATGTAATCTTATTTTTTAGATTTCGAAGCATGACGTTAAGATTCAACAAAGTGCAACTATTCTCTAATTTAAGTATCTTTTAGTTAATGAGATCTCCCTGTGATGTGCTTTCTTGTATGGATCTCCTTGTATACAGACTTGTAATTTTTAGGACGATAGACTTAGTAAAGTTCACGATTTTGTTAATTTGACAAAAATTTCTAATTAAATTATTAACTGAATTAAATTGTTACTACACTCACATGCAAAAAAACGCAACGGAAAATTTTTTCGCCAAAAGTGTTGTATTTTTTTAGTTTTGGCCCTATTTTTATTGTTTTTTTAGCAAACTGTATATAGATTTATCAAGTTTAATTCATAAATTCAGTTTTTTACAAACCGTAGTATTTGGCTTATTATACAGGGTTAATTGAAGGATTGTTTTTTATCCTAACTTTAAAACACCCTGTGCAATAATTCCGTGAGTTGGTTTTTTCCTAAAACATTATTTTTCAGTCGGAACCATGTTTCCTGAGCATTTTGTTTTTTGACTCATGTCAACACATGCCTTGGTTCATTTTTAAGAGGGAAATGAAGTTGCCACCAACAATTTGCAATTTTTTCAACTATCATTACTTTATTATGTTATTTTTTAATATTCTTAGGTGGCTTTGGTGGCTTTTGTCATAATATCATATCGACATTGATTAGAACTCTATATTAAAATGATTTAAAAAATTTTAAAAAGAAACGATACAGGCTTGGTTTTAATAAATATTAGTAACACTAACAGAGCAAGGATATTACAAAAAAATAACTGTAATAACTAAGTGAACAAACAAACAAAAATACTCTAATACTTTGTATTTTCATCCCCTGCTACTATAATTGTCTGTAAACATCGGTTCATACTGTTAATTAGGCTGCAAATAGATTGTGTTGTTTTCCCATTCTTCTTCAAGGATCAAGCAAATATTTATAGTTTCAGCCATCTTCAACAAAATCAATGACTTTCTTCGACACTAAGAACCATATTCAATCGTACACAACAATAATCACCAAAGCCACATCGTCATTATGAAGAAAACATAAAAAAGTAACGATATTTTAAAACATTACAAAATGTCTGTGGCAAGTTAATTTTGTTCTTAAAAATTACCCAAGGCATGTCTTGACATGAGAAAAAAAAATATTTAGGAGACATGGTTCTGACCGAAAAAAATAATGTTTTAGGAAAAATTGGTCTCGAAATTATTGCACAGGGTGTTTTAAAGAAAGAGTAAAAAACAACTGTTTAATAAGTTTTATAATAAACTGAGTTTACTAATTAAAGGTGATATACCGTATGATCGAATAAAAACGGTGTCAGCGATGGCTATGAAATGAAGATCGCTGTCATTTTATATGTAAAATTATATGGTAAATGTCATCGATTGTCATTTCAAAGCCAACTGGACGCAATTTTTTTCGATCATACGGTATTTTTATACAGTTTGCTAAAAGAATTAGAGCTAAAAATAACAAAAATATAACATTTAACACTTGACCAAAAATTTTCCCGTTGCGTTTTTCCATACCTTACGTATATTATGTCCGCTTCGAATATACAGGGTGTTTCAAAACAAATGCGAAAAACTTCACGGGGTGATTCCTTGTTCAAAATAAAGGGTAGTTTGCTTTATAAACGTTGGGTCAAAAGTCAACCATTAGGGAGATATCGCGGTACAAAGATGGCGGAAAAATAATGTTTTTATTTTTTATCTTGAAAACGAAAAGAGATAGACTAATGAAATTTTATGGAAGCATTACTGTTATGAAAACACACTTTCAGGTAATTTTTTTACTTTTTTAAAATGAGTGGAAGGGGTTGAAATAAACTACCCCTATCATTCTTGTTAACGAAATTTAAAGAAAAATCTTATCAAACACATGCAAATGCTTTAATTTGGATAGTTTAGTTTGTTTAGAAACTTTTTACCTCTTGTGTTTTTGATAAAACTCACCGATTGGAAATTAAAAATAAAATGTAAAGCATTACATGTCAGGACAAAAAACATTTTTAGATTAAGAATCTACTGATAATAACGATAATAATAATCATCTAGATAATAACGTATTGCAGTAGAGTAATGTCAAATAAAATAATATTAGGAACATCCTAAAAGTAACAGCGGCCGACTAGATTTTTTCCTAAAAAAATTACAGCAGCCCACTAGATTCTTTATCAGAAAATGTTTTTGTCCTGACATGTAATGCTTTACATTTTATTTTTAATTTCAAATCGGTGAGTTTTATCAAAAAAAATACAAAAGATAAAGAAGTTTCTAAACAAACTAAACTATCCAAATTAATTTTTTGCATGTGTTTGCTAAGATTTTTCTTTAAATTTCGTTAACAAGAATGATAGGGGTAGTTTATTTCAACCCCTTCCACTCATTTTAAAAAAGTGAAAAAATTACCAGAAAGTGTGTTTTCATAACAGTAATGCTTCCATAAAATTTGATTAGTCTATCTCTTTTCGTTTTCAAGATAAAAAATAAAAACATTATTTTTCCGCCATCTTTGTACCGCAATAACTCCCTAATGGTAGACTTTTGACCCAACGTTTATGAAGCAAACTACCCTTTATTTTGAACAAGGAATCACCCCCTGAAGTTTTTCGCATTTGTTTTGAAACACCCTGTATAAGTACGGGTTTGAACATTGCAGTCAATATATCTTATTTATGTCAAAGTTATAAACTTTGACTATACAGGGTGGTGAATATTTCCATAACTATCATTCGTATTGCAAACTATTCTACTTTAGATGAAAATTTAACTCTTTTTATACCTATTAATAGAATTACGCTGTTTTATAGGTTAGTTCCTTACTGAGAAATTCATTATATTCTCAAAACGCTACGTGCACTATAATATAGACGGTCCAATAATTGATGCTTGTCATTACTAAATCATATTATGGGACCCTAAACTTATTTTAATCGATGTCGACGTCTACTATATATTTAGGCTTGTGAATTTACGCATGTTTCTTCAGATTCGTACGCTAAACGAGTTTTGGGACTTAGTTTTTGATGTAAAAACAGTACCTTAAGCATATATCGGTAAAATACTATGTAGTTTTTTAAACTATTGTTCTGTTTTAGTTAAAAATCTACATAGACCGTTGTGTAATCGAAATTGGGTTTAATTACTAGCCTAGATTTAGCATTGCACCTAATTTTTATTTTATGTAATAATGTCCTTTTTTGTTCAATCGACATTATTTAACTGAGACTTTTAAATTTTAAAAAAGGAAGCAGATTGATTGTTTGCTTCTGTGTATTATTCCTCTTTAGAAACTTTGTTAAGATATTCGCATATACTGTACTCTTTATAAGAGTTTAATGTGTAATATATTTGAAAGAAAAAGATAGTGCTATAGTGCTACTCGTTTTTGTTTTGTACAAAAATTATTTCAACCTGTTGTGAATATAATAATAGATTTACTTGTATATTAAATGAAGAAGAAAAAAAACTCTGACAAAAAAGGAAAACAATTTACGAGATATATTTATTTTCCAAACGCTTATGTAGCCAAATGATGGGTCAAGTTGTAGTGGTACATTTTTATAAGCAAGTATGATTAATATAACATTATCACAGCAAGATATTTGTTTTATTTCTTGTGATTTCACACACATAGATCATTTTCTAAGGTGGAACTTAAGGATACATGACAGCGACAGTAGTGTCTGTCATTTAATTCACATGTAAATTGTATTTTGTCATATTTTGGAGGTCGTCTATAGAAATCTTCCTTGATTCGGGGGGGCAGACTTCAGTATCTATTTCATATGTAAGTATGGTATTTCTCAAAAATGGTTCACCCCTAAAACTCTTATTATTTCATGGAAAAAAAACGAGACTTGGTATGTTAGTATATGACATAAATTAGGGTTGATTGACGTATTCAATTGTTTTCGGTTACTTCCTGTTTCATCGGAAATGAACACTCTGAATAGAATGACGTATCATATGTCAACTTTTGACATTTTCGCTTAAGAAAATCGTATTTTCAATTTCAATCTAGAGTGGCATGGCTGTGTTAAAACACTAATTTTTAATCAAGGAGCCATGGAAAAATAGATTTGATCGTCTAGTGTTTTCCGTGTCTTATCCTGGCCGGTTAAAAAATACCAAAATCGTATTTTTAATCATATCTCAATTTTTGCAAATGGAATGAGCGTCTCATTAGCATATTGGGAAAAATATTTTTTTTAAGAATAATTTAATACCACACACTAGGTATTTCGAGTCAAATTTTCGTTACGAACCGCAAGTTATAATTTCAAATAAACCATATGCGAAAATGTCAAAAAGTTGACATGATATGTCATTCTAATCAGAGCGTTATTTTCTATCGAATAAAGTAAAAAAATGCCGAGGGTGCCATTTAAAAGTTATAGTCATTTCCGGTGAAACAGGAAGTGACTGAGAACAATTGAATACGACAATAAATCCTAATTTATGTCATATATACTAACGTACCAAATATCGTTTTGT